TTCTCGATGAAATTGGTGATAACTGTAAGGTTGAAGCTATACAATTGAATTGTTCCACATTATATGGACCTTGGATCTGATCCGCTGATGGGATTGATTCTAGCGATGGATCTGTATCTGTAAAATTAAAGAAAAGAAAAAAAAAATATTACCACACATTAATATATAACGCTGTTAAGGTGATAGTACCATGAACGGGGGTGGTTTTGATAATAGGGGTAACTTTGGTAATGCAGCTAAGCCAAAAATTTATGACTTAAGGCACATCGTACGCAATATTTTGGATAGGAAACCGATGTTCCCTTCCAAAATAATGAATACGAAGAGCATTAAGTCATAACTTTTTGGATTAGCTGCATTATCAAAGTTACCTCCATTATCAAAGACATCCCCGTTTACGGTACATCGAAGCCGCATCTGAATTTTCCCCATGTTTGTGGAGCACGAGCTGCATAAACCGCATATCGTACAGTCGTGAAAATTTGATAGATTGTTCACCGAGGTTGGCCTACCAATCGATCAAATTTGTACGATAAGCGGTTCATCCAGCTCGTGCTCTAAAAAAATGTTGAAAATGAAGTTGTATCTTCGATGTACAATCCTTAAACCACACAGTTGAAACAGTTAAAGTTATTATTATTTACCTAGTGTATCATCAAATTCCTGATGTTCTGATTGCTGATGACTTGTTGATGGTTGCGGCTCTTCAAACTTCCGAGCATGGCTTGATTCTTTTCCATCCGATCGCCTCTTTTTCGGGAGAGGTGTCCTATTGTGCACTAAAATTCCACGACACGATTCACAAATACGCATTGTTACATCCAATTGATGATCAAAGCCCCATGAATGTATTTTCTCTATGAGACTTGATGATAAATTACGTAAATTATTGCGGCTGCAATTGGGATTGTTTATGTTGGCACTACATTGCACCCTTTTAATAATCAATTCAGCAGATTTTTCCATTGTTGTATATATAAACACTTTTTCGTTTCAACAACTATGCAGCACTACACTTTCAACAACTATGCACTACAGCAACTATGAGCATTGTTGTGATATCACCAAACTTAAATATTAGATTATGTCGGTAGAAACAGACTGCGGTGCTTTAAGTTTATACCTTATATCTCTCATGTGACTACCTGCGTTGTTATATAACTGCTATATAGCAGGTAACTTAACGATTATTTTAGGCATGCCTTAAATAATCGTTAAGTTACCTGCGCTATTATATGTATTCACTTGAGAGATGAGGTATAAACATATATATGCATATTGCTTACTAATGGACACACCTAATACATAAAAATAAATGAATGATTATTTTTCTAATTAAATTAATCACAAATACATGAATTGAAATCTTTTCATGAATAAAACATACTAAGTGATTTTTACTTAGTTTACCTGTTGATTTGGAACAATTTGAGGGTGGTTTTATAGAAGTTGGATAGAGTGTATGCATATATTATAATACAATCCATCACAGGAAAGTGCAAACCATGCTGAGATGGCTGTTCCTCATTAGAACGTTTTGTTCTGAACACTTATTGGACGATTTGCAGGTAACTTCTCTGTACCCTTTTCAAATGTTAGGCTAGATTTCGCCCAGATTATCGAAAAGTATACCCATAAAGTTTAATCGAATTTTAATAAGGTTGTGCGCGTATTACTATTCGACTTTGAGTGAAACACGCTAAAAAAAATTAACATGAAAAAGTTGTTGTTCGAACAACTTTTTTTCCTTAAAAGCGCCCACTTTGCGATGTATGAAGAAAAGTTAGGTAATTATATTGCCTTTCATGAGAAAAAATATCAAGCAAATCTGAGGGGTACCATTTTTGGGAAAATGACTTTTAATTTTTAAATATATTTTTTTAGAGTGTAGAAACCGATTTTTTATTTTATTTAATTTTTTTTATAAAATTTCAGATTATTTGCTAAAAGTTCGCCATACATCACTTTTTTGTAGGGCTTGTCATTTTTAAGCTATATCGATTTGAAAAAAAAATCGACAAAAAACTTTGACCCTTATCAAATGTTAGGCGAGATAAATTTTGAAAAAAATAAGTACGCAAAGTTGCTTAAAATTGCTAAGTCTCCACACCCACAAAGTTTCATAAGGTTCTGAGAGGGTGCTGCCAACCACTGGATGAGTTGGCGTGAAATCCGTCATCTGTCAAATATAAGTTAAAATACACCAAATGGATCGCACCCTAAGGCTGTGTTGCATTTGGTGAATTTTCACTTAAATTTGACACTTCGAAAATAAATTATAATGTTCGAAAATCCATCTGTTGTTGATCATCCGATTTTCGAGAAGGTGTTTGTCAAAATTGATTCCTGGTCTGTCAGAAATAAGTCTGGTAAAATAGCAGGTTTATTTGAAAATTTTCCATCTGTCAAATTTTAGTGAAAATTCTCTAAATGGAACACAGCCTAAGGCTGTGAACCATTTGCCTAGTTAAATTTAACTCGTGGTTAAAAGTGACATTTAGAAAGTTATTTTCTATGTTCGAAAATCCCCGTTCTGTCGATCGACCGGTTTTCGACCCACGGTTGTCAAAATTTAACTTCTTGTCTGTCATAAATAACCATGCTCGGATAGCAGGGTTCATCGATAACTTTCCATCTGTCAAATTTAAACCAAAAGTTTAAAAAAAATCGTCAATGGTTCAGAGCCTAAATGTAGGTGGTTGACAGCTGTAGTATACTCCTAGTCCCACTATCGAATGGCATTTGCTAGATAAGATGAGGTTGCGACATAATTAAACAAATAAGCTCTGCAAACAACGCTCTTTGAAAACAATTTTATGAATATGTTACTGGAAAAAAAATGCAAGGATTAAAAAGGAGGACATTTTCGGGCAAAAGGAGGATGTAAAAAAATTATTGAAAAAGGAGGACATGTCCTCCTTTAGGATACCATATGGTAACCTTAACTTGGGGTGCTTTTGATTGACCTCATGACCTTTCCATGGAGCTGACGATTGGCAGTTCCACTTTGAGGCTTCCGATTCCGATTCAACACTTTAGCAAGCTTGGACGCGGACCACGATGGATTCTCCAGGTGACTGTGCACGATTTTTTTTTCTACGCTCCTCTTGCCTGGTGACGGTCTCCAAAACAAGAGCGTTTTATGAACTGAAAAAATACACTGTTATTTGTATTGTTGTTTTCAACAAATAGACGTCAAAAGCTTCCGAAAACCACTAGGAGCGCTGTAATAAGCAAAAGAGTTTGTTCAATTATAAAGTGGGCCATGGTTTTCAATTTTTCACGCTGCCGTACTCTAACGGAACAATCATTTCTATCCTCTTCATAACTTTTTCTAGAAAATAAATTTCACTCTAAGTTCTATGTCATCATTAGTAAATCATTTTCCTTTCAACATTTTTGAAGTTAAGTGCCGAATTTTAGCACAAATGCGAATGATTCACCATAACAAATAATTATGTAAAATTTCATGCAAATCGAAGAAGGTTGGGTCTGATCGATCCGTCATTTGGCATAGAACTGCTTCTAATTGGGAGCCAAAAGGCCATAGGTAGGGGGCTGTTCATAAACTACGTAGACAGTTTAGGGGGGGGGGGTTGACAATTATCCACGACCCATACAAATGTTAAAATTTTTGTATGGACAATTGTCTACGCAGGGGGATGGGGGTGGGGTCAAGAATCCCAAAAAACTGTCTACGTAGTTTATGAACAACCCCTAGACAGAAAACCTCTTTCTACTTCACACGATGTTGAATTTACATACTGCTTTTTTCTGTAACAATCAAGTTCACCCAGCCTCATTGACTGGTCGCAAACCAGTGGCGCGACTTATTGACTTTAACGTCATAATGATCGGTTTATTGGAAGGGTACAAAATAAAAGCTCAACTAAATGTGATCGTATCCGCTCGAATCTTGATTGTGTGTTACATACAGCCATCTCACTATTAGGGGTCACTTCCATTTGATTGCCCTAATAAAAATGTCATCGAAATGCAATGCAACTTTTTTTGCAATGAAATAAAATCAATGGTTAGCTAAAAAAAAATAAACTGTATTGTTTTGTACCACAAAATCTATGGTAAATAAGGGGTTTACATAAATAAACTCTATGTATCATCAGGTACCTTTACGATCAAAATCATTTATTGTTTTGTATGTTAAAATGTGGCAATCTTTACGATGTATATTAAAAATATTATGGGTGTGGCCTCTTTAAAGATAAATTTACCGTAAGATGAATTGTGAACCTCATTTCGAACAATATAATTTATAATATATTTATTTAAACTTTATTAACTGCATGAACAGATTCTGTAATTTGGTCGTCGGAAGGTTGTATAAATAATTTTATAGCTTTATGTTAGTTTATTTTCCCAATACTAACTTCATGAAAAACTTGCTTGTATGCCACAGTCTGTTGTAAGAACTTACATTACATTTGTTGTACAAAAACATGCAGAGGATGTAAGAAATCCACCATTTCATGAGATGTTCATGAAATTTGATTTACGTTGATGAAATATCAATTTTAAAGCCATAATTTCACAAAATTTTGATTTTATTGTGGCCAATTTCTGAACTCCAGAATTCAGTAAAATTTATAGAATCTACAGAATATTCGTATCAAATTTCATGAATTAACTTCAGCTTCACGTTGTGTTCAGAATGGAACAACGACGCGAGTGCTTGAAAGTTAATAAGCAATACGAAATGTCTACATCACCACAAATGCATATATTTTTTTTTTATATCCGCCAAGAACATCTAAAATTCAAAGAAAAATAACCTTTCATTGTTAGATGAGATGTCTCCCAAGAATGCAATTCGAGCTTTTTTTTTGCGCGGTGACTTTATAGGTTGATCACTGCCTTAATCTGGATTCATATATAATTAGCCCAATCAGTGCGGTGCAAGGCAAATTATTGTCGTAAAGTGTTCAGTAGAATAGAGGAGACTAGTACAGACTAGTCTTAGCTTAACAGTCGATCGGGAAACTTCCACTTTCCGGAATGCTGTTTTCAGTAGTCGCACTCGTTGCAGTTTTGTGCTTAACGGTATACTGGTACCTGGCGCAGAAGAACTGGAGTTTTGCAAAAAATGTTGTCGCAGTGGATCCGAGCTACCCGGTGATTGGAAATGGACACTTGTTTGTCGGCAAGAGCGATGTCCGGAGATTTTGGAATATGAAAAAACTATTCGATCGCACAGAGGCACTGTTCCGGTTCTTCTTGGGACCAAAAATGGTGTTTGGGACAAGTGACCCCAAAACTGCCCAGCAAATCCTAACCGAATCGAACTGCATGGAGAAACCGTATTTATACGATTATTTCCTAATTGGCCATGGAGTATTTACGGCAAAAAGTAATTATTTTCTAAAGGTTTGACCAGTGCTGTATAATTTCAAATAATTTCTTTTTGTTTCGTAATAGCGCACATTTGGCGAGGACAACGGAAAGCGCTAAATCCCACCTTCAACACGAAAATTCTGGAGAGCTTCGTATCTATTTTCTGTGATTCCTCAGCGGCTATGATCCAGCGGTTGGAAGCCATTCCGGCAGGGAAAACTATCAACTTCATGGAGCACATTTCCCGGTGTACACTGGAAATGGTTTGCGCTACCACGCTCGGTTTCGACGTACAAGTATTCGACCAAGTCGATAATTTGGGTCATCAAATAGAACGGTAATTGTCTTATCTTACTTTTATCTTCGAAGGGAATGACTTGCCTTTACGTACTCCTACTGAACGAAAAGCACATACAACAGAAGCTAGGCAGAACACGCTTGATCTTATTGTGGGAGTACATTGGGAATCTATCCCGGAATTTGGTTGCTCCGCGGTCGGTGTTTGTTAGTGAATATGTGAGCTATGGCTAGAGATTCTGGAAATCCAGTCCTGATCTCCCGGATGATTAACAGATAATTTCGGTATCAACATAAAACGTAACGATAGTGTCTTCCTGTACCTTGAGATTCTGCGTGATTCTTTGAAAAGGTTGTTCAGGAAACAAGAGCCTTTTGGATAGTGGATACCTCAGTTCAGAATATCTCAGAATCTTGGTCATCCGGAAAGGTGCTGTCTTCTGCAAAGTTGTATCAGTGATAGTGGAAAAATATGCTCGTAATTCACTCATTACGGTGTGATAGTGTTTATGTGTTGTAAATCGAGACAGTCTGAAAAGTTGCTGTTCCTGGCAAAGTTGTCCATAGTGTCAAGGATTTTTCGGATAGTGGAGAACGCAGTTTAAATTTTAGTTTTAGATAATTGGTCGCATTCAATCAAAATTTAAGAACCGCTGTTGTACCTACAACAGCGGTTCTCAAATTTTGTTTGAATGCGACCCACTCTGGGAAATTCTATAAGCTCGTGACCCACCAATATTGAATGCAGATGTTGTATAGCCAAAATGGCATTAAAACAACAAAAATTACTTTAAAGCACAAAAAAAAAGCTAAATCATGAAAACACTAAAAAAGTAAAGCATGAGATGCATCAACACGACAAAGTAGTATTGAAAGTAAATAGCAAAGCACATCACCACGATGAACTAATTTAAAAAAATCCTGACTCCGAATTTACAAAAAATTGCTTAAATTCGCAGAAATTGTCTCAAACATTGAAATTACTTTTAAAAAGGTCCTGTGAACTTTTAAAATATTCTTGAATATGCCGACATACATAACCATAACAATTTTAAATCACCGAAAATGATCACACAATCGCTAACCTAGTCCGACACGAATGTATCTCGGTGTAAGATGGCCTGGAAAAGTTGTAAAAACGCCAAAATTACCAAATATTAAAACATATGACATCTCTTAAAATATTCTTAAAAAATACAACTTTCATAATAATCATGAAACTTTAAAAAGGTTCTAAAAACACCAAAAATATACGTTTAACTCTTCGTGTGTGCCAAAAAAAAAATACGTTGCCTGTACCCGGGTCAATTTGACACCAAATTCTAAACGGAATTTCAATATAGTTCTGATATTTAAAATGTTGCTTTTTAGAGGACTTTCAATTAAAATTATCAGGGGGGAGGGGTCATTGTTAAACTGTACCCATAAAGTGGCATATTTCGATGTTAGAGATGTTTATATCACGAGATCCCAACCATATAAGATGTTGCTTACTACTGCAAAGAAGATCAGGAATACAATGTCTTCAAAACTATTAACAGTGTATGGTCGAATTTACTCACTAGATGGCGCTAAATCGATAATGATCAAGTTGTGCTATCCTTAATACACATTAAATAATGCTATCTACAGATCCTGCTCATATGGATGGTTCCCATCTTCAGCAAAGTTGTTCAGACCTATCATAAATAAAAGAGTTTATTTCAGAATTCACTCATCAGGTGATGCTTGTGTGGCATGCTCTTTGAATTGTTTGCCCTAACCAGTGTTGGGAAAATATCAAAAAATCAAATCTCACCAATGCCCAAGACCACGCTTGATTTTCGAAGACAAAAATCAACAAGCATACAACTTCCGTTGATTTTGCAAGCTGTGATATTGCAGCTCGGAATATCAAGCTAACAAAACTCGTCAGCTGCAAATCTCAACAAACTATGGTGAGATTGAGTTTAATGATTTTGGCTTTACACCCGAACGTAACCGAAACTTCCATAACGGCTGGCAGCATTCACTTGGTGTCTGCCATCGGTGAACAGTAAAAAGAGATAGCTAACTATACTTTCTCTTTCGAAGAAAACGATGTGCAACGGAATCATTTTTGTGTCTAAATAGTCAACTCTCCGCTTGATTTTTGCACGTTTTGAATAGTCTCGCAATATCAGAAGAGCTTGTAAAATCAATATCAAGCATGATATTTTGTTCCAATTGAGAGCGTATGAGAGCGGAAAAATAAAATTTGAAAGATGATTTTGCCAACACTGGCCCTAACAAAATATCTTGACTAGATAGAAGGTGCCCGTCTTCGGCAAAGTTGTTCAGATGGAAAAGAACTATTTATGGTAAAGAATAAAGCTCAGAATTAACTAACCAGAGGGCACTACCCAAGTAACATTTTAAGTTTTATGAAATGCTACAAAGCAACTATAAAACAACATTCATAAAACCCCTGTCAAGGCTATTTTGTCATTAATGCATCCACCAAAACATCATTAAGACTAGAATATGTCTAGCTGGCCCACCCTGGAGAAGGTTCTGAAGGGTGTATTCTCGAAGCTCTTCAAGATTGATTCACTGCAAAAGGTTGTATGACGAACGCATTGAGAACCATTTGAAAGCTATAACAAAAGCTATTTAGCAACAATAAAAAGCCTTTCCGGACCATTTCCCCTAGCCGCTTGCTAAATCCACTAAGAAAGCATCAATCAAGATAGAAAAGGATTAATTAATCCGAACTTATCAAAATAATTAAAATAGAAACTGATGGTATAAAAATCTTGTAGAATATCCAAATTTATTACAATAGTTCTCATTAAGTGGCCTAGTTTTAAGTGCCTTATTATATGTTATGTGAAATGTTCGTGAAAACATCGAAAAAAAAGTCCGCCCTCGTAAACCGTCGATTTGACTAATTATTTTACATTGACAAAAAAGCTAGGCCGAGATTTTTTAATGATTTTCGCATTTAAATGTTTGCAAACTTATTGTAACATAGCGGTGGCATAAGAGTTGATTTTCATGGGTCATTTGTGAAAAAGTTGTTGTTTTCAAGAAATCCTTAACAAATCTATAAGGTTTTAAAATGGCTTTTATGAAGAAAAAATGCAGGCTGAATTGAATTTATCTAAAGCAATTTTGCTTGATCCTAACCCGTTCAGATTTATGGCAGCATTTATGGAGGTAAAGTTGCCTGCAAAAAGTTAAACGTCAAAGTTTATTTATCTTTCGATATTTAGATCCGCTGTGGGATCCAAGGTTCTTCCAGACGGTGTTCTCCCGATGGATTGGGAGCAGTTTCTCAGACAGTTTGCGATACTGTTTTGCAACATTTCGCATTTCGAACAGCTGAAAGCGCAATCGTTCCCGAAAACGATCCCCTGCTTCCCGATGGTTACAGAAGTGCACCATCCAACGATGCAGGGATGTACACTTGAATGAAATTTTCAAAGAGTTGATTCTTTCGCCAAATAAAATCGCTGCTATGGATCGGAAACCAGCTAATCACTGCTAACTAACAGTTTCAGTGGTTTGCTGTCGGTTGTTTTTTCGATTGTCATCTATTCGCAAGATCTGGAGAAGGCTGGTATGCAGGCTTGCTTCCACTCACTTGCTATAAAAAAAATGTTTTTCGGAATTATGATATCATTAGATATTATAATGATAGTTAGTAGTTGTAAGTCACAAGATAAGGTTTTAAACTAGGTGTTTGACACATAAAACCTGTCATTATTGCTTTCAGTGCGTCACAATTAGCGATTTTACGATTCGTGAACGCTCACGAGTCATAAATTCGCTGATTGTGACGCACTGAAAGCGAAATTGACAGGTTTTATGTGTCAAATACATACCTTCCCACCTCTTCTTGTTTCTGACAAGTACAATTTTTCATAATAGCATCCAATGATTCGATAATTCTGAAAAACATTTTTTATAGCGAAGTCAGTGGAAGTAACCCTGCTGGTGCTGGTATGTTTTTCAACTTTCGACAATGTTTCATGAATTCAAGGGTCTCACTATTTTTACTCTTCTCCGCCACATGGTGAGTCGTTGGTGATGTGCTGGTTCTTCTAAAGAAGTAAATTTTTCTGAAATCGACTTGAATTTTTCATCCAACTTTGTCTATCCTTCGAGATTTCCTTGTCATAAATTTGGCATTTATTAACTATGAGGAACCATCTTTTAAGCTCAATTTGTAAATTGAGTAATTGGGGAGTTTATGATGCACTTTAAAAACCCTAAAAAGCAACAATCAATGCTTTTTGTTGTTAATGGTTTTATGGTTGCTTTTATAATGATAAAACACATTTACAAAGTATTTTATCAAGACATTAATAAACAATCAGCGGCGCCGATTGTGTAGTGGTAAGCATGATTGCCTCTCACCCCAGCAGACCTGGGTTCAATCCCAGTCGGCGCCGCCGGGATGTTCCGAGTCATAACATCTCTGATCACGCCTTCCTTCGGAAGGGAAGTAAAGCCGTTGGTTCCCGGTTCATGAGTTGATTGGTCGATAGGTAGGGTCCAGGTGTGGGAGCTGTATCCCCGGCGTCGGTAGCATTGGTGCTCAGCACGGAAAACAAGATCAACGGAAAACAAACCAAAGGAAAAAAACAAAAAATAATAATAAACAATTGCTAATAACGTTTGATGCTTGAATTACAGAGTAAAACTGCTTTAAATTTATTTTTAAAACAAGACAGTTTTTGACTCTCTTGCCAAACTATAAAAGGTTTTTAAAACAGCAAAAAGCTGAATTACTAAGCAGAAATGTTTTACACTTTGAAATGCTGTATTGTTGATTGCCGTTATAAAACCATCATAAATCAGAGTGGATGCCAAATGGTTACTGAATGGTTACTTGGGTAGTGTGATATTAATTTTTCATTGGTTGCCCTAACTTTACATGTGGACTTTCTAGTTCGTTTATTTGGAAGGCTCAGTCGTGAAGTTGTGCATATGAAAAAGACTTTTTCTAAGGTAAAGAGTTTGTTCAGAATTCACTCACATGGCAGAGCTAGTGTGACATTAATTTTGAATTGTTTACCATAAATTAATATATGGACTAGATAGAAGGTTTCCGTCAAAGTTGTTTTTATGAACAAGACCTATCCTAGGGTAAAGAGCTTAGTTTAGAATTCACTCACTAGGTGGCGCTAGTGTGACATAAATTTTGAAAGTATCTGTCTTCGGTAAAGCTGTTCAGACGGACAATATCTATCTCAAGGAAAAGAGTTTATTTCAGAATTCAATTACCAGCTGGCGCTAGTGTGACATTCTCTTCGAATTGTTTGCCCTAACTTATCATCTAGATAGAAGGTTCTCGTCTTCGGCAAAGTTGTTCATTGTACCAGACTTATTTCTGACAGACCAGGAATCAATTTTTACAAAAACCTTCTCGAAAGTAGGAAGGTCAACAACAGAGGGATTTTCGAACATATCTTAATTTCTTTTCGAAGTGTCAAATTTAAGTGAAAATTCATCAATTGGAACACAGCCTGAGAACATAAAGCAAAGTTGCGTTATCAAGACAGCATCGACGAAAGCTCTGATGCTTTTCTGCTAGATTATCAAAGTGTATTAAATAATGCTGATTCACACATATCTTAGCATGCATCGAGATTTCATAAATAAGAAGAAGCAACGTCCCCAGCTGTCAAACATAAACACAACCGGATAATAACTATCATTCTTCGAAGCCTCGGTTGAAGACAGATCGATCCCTCTTGATGCAATCGACCCGATCCACTGGATTATCAATTTTATCAATCAGGCTAAACTGGAACCATATGTAACCCTAGAATCTACTAAATAATTGTGGAGACGGTGTCCTCATGAAATTAAATAGTTTAGTAGTCCATAGGTTGGTTGGAGGATCTTCTTTTGCCAATGCGCTGAAAAGCAGTTTTAATTTATTTTTCTATTCAAATATTTCAAGATTTCTTCAATTTATCTTGCGAACTTCCACCTGAATTGCTGTTTTGAATGTTTCCTTTCATATTTTATGTATTGCCATGCGAACAAGGTCTTCAACTCGGTTTTCAAGGAACGATTTTGGTTCAGTGTTCGAAAATCCCAAAAGCAGCTGTCAATGACGATTGTCAATTTCGGTTGCCAAATCTGACGCCAATTGCTAATTTTTCTCTGAACTGGCAATATACAGATATATTATTTTGCACGCATCACACATAAATAGTAACGTCATCATTTCAAACCGACATGTATCTGTAAATTATTATTTTCCTGGTTTTGCTTAAAAATTCCCGGTTTTTCCTGGTAAAACTAAATTCCCGACATTTTCCTGGTTTTCCTGGTTCACTTGCCACCCTGAATTAATCCAAAGGGAGCTGTAGCCCCCACTAGCCTCCTCTCCCGTAGTTACGACAATGAGTTTAGTTCAGAATTCACTCACCAAGCAGCACTAGTGTGACATTCATTCTGAATTGATTGCCCAAACCAGTGCTTGTATCAGTACAGGTTTACTACAGTACTTTTGAAAATTTAAAATTGTTTATCGGCACACCTACAACAAACAAAAACAACCTAAACTGTAGCTAGATAAAAATGTCATGATATTTCTAAACTGATTTTTTGTTTGACTACGGTACATTTTCGCACACATTAGAAAACGAGACGCAGCTGCGTGCGCGACACATTTTTTGGAATTTATATGTTTTCTGGTAATTACTGCATATACCTATTTGAAGTTTTTTGTATGGAGTCATAAGATAAGAATCAATACTAACCACTCCAATGCATAGATATTTAAAGTTGGCCAACATATATTCTTTGAATAGCCCCTGTACCATAGTATAGGTCTTGTTCATCTGAACAACTTTACCCAAGACGGAAACCTTCTATATAGTCCATGTGTTAAGCTAGGATAAACAATTAAAAATAAAATTCACCCAAGCATCACTTGGTGAGTGAATTTTGAGTTGAACTCATTACCTTAGGATAGGTCTTGTCTATCTGACCAACTTTGCTTAGGATGGAAACTTTCTATCTAGTCTATAGGATAAGTTAGGGCAAACAATTCAAAATTAATGTCACATTAGTACCGCCTGATGAGTGAATTATGAACTAAACTCTTTACCTTAGGATAGGGCTTGTGTATCCTAACAACTTTACCCAAGACGAAAACTTTCTATCTAGTCCATATGTTAAGTTAGGGCAATCAATTCAAAATGAATATCACATAAGGGTTGCATGGTGATAGAATTCTGAACTGAAGGGACTGGAGGGCTACCGGCTTTTGTGATTAATGTACTCTCATTTAGGATTTTTACTACAATTACTTATTTTCCTTCCAAATCGAAATTGTTTACTGATTGCATAATTCAGAAGTTCGAAAAACTAAATTAACCCCCCCTAGGATTTTTCCTTAGTACCGTCATTGACTAAACTCATTACTATAAAATAGCTCTTGTCCATCTGAACAACTTTACCGAAATCATAAACCTTCTATCTAGCTCATATGTTAAGCTAGGGCAAAAAATTCAAAATTAATGTCACACTAGTGCCACCTGGTGAGTGCATTCTGATCTAAACTCTTTTCTTTAAAATAGGTCTTGCCCATTTGAACAACTTTGCTAAAGACGGGAACCATGCATATGAACAGGATCTGTAGATAGCGTTATTTAATGTATATTTAGGATGGCGCAACTTGATCATTTTCGATTTAGCGCCATCTAGTGAGTAAATTCGGCCATACACTGTTAATAGTTTTCCCAAATATCTTTGCAGAAGGAAGCAACATCCTATGTTGATTTCGTGATTTAAACATCTCAATCATCTAAAACAAGTCTGATAATTTTAACAAAAGGTCCACTAAATTTACTTTGCAAAACATTTTTTAGAAATACATTGAAATTTCGTTAACATACGACAATTTGAAAATGGACCCGTACAAACAACGTAAGTATTGGCACACATACTTTTGAATATAAAAACCAATAAATGATCAATTACAAATATATAAACGTCAATTTTCCAAGGTTAATGCATCAAATAAAAAAAAATATTGTCCAAAACATGAACAATATATGTCTAATTTATGGATCGTGCCTATATCTTTAAGTGCGCAAGCTTGATTTTCTATGGTTCACTTTCATTAGTTTAAGGTTCATTGCTGAATGTTTTATGGATCATTTGCAATATGTTTATGGGTAATTCGTGCAATTTCAATTCTCATTCTTTAAAAATTTAGCGGTTCATTTTTACAATTGTGTATTTAGCAAATACATTATGGATCATATGGATATTTTTTAAGGATCATTTACACTTTTAAGGAGATTTACTGCGGTTTTTTATGGATCATTTGGATGTTTTTTTTTGTAACCGTTTTTCAATATTTTATGGATAGTTTTATCAATTCTAAAGGTGCATACTTAGGGCTGCCGTAAGTATTTCAATAAAAAATTTCCAATACATATATGTTTTTTTTTGGACGAAATTTCATACCGTATTACAGAGCAGCGGTGGACGCACATAGTCACGAATGTTTTAGTAAAATCTGATCCTGAGCAATCTGGTTCTAAAGCAATCCAAATAAGAATTCCAATTCTAAGGATAGTTTTGTATTAAGTGAATTACGAAAAGGATTTCTAGGGCATTCTAAAGAAATTGTCAAAGATCTGCTGAGCTAGTTCCAGCAGAATATTGAGGAGAATTTCCACAGAATGCTTGGGGAATGCTGATGAAAATTCAAAGGAAAAATTTTCAGGAGAATTCACAATGGGACAATTGTAAGGAAATTGGGTGGAGCATTCCAAACATATTTTGAAGCACACTTTAGGAAAGCTAAGGATATTTTCTAGGAATTTCAATTTCATTTGGAGCAAAATAATAAGGACATTCTGCGAATTTGAATTTTGAAGGTTATACTTAAGGAAAACTGAATAAAATTCCAACGAAATATTAAAGAAAATTAGTTAAGCGAGTTCTTGTGAGAATTATAAAACATTGGAAGAACTGTGAGTTAATTTTAAGAGTTTTCTGGACAAAGTGATTCCCTTAAAGTATATTCCTAGAGATGGCGCTGTTTCCTTGGTAGGCATAGTTGAAATTCAGTATGGGATAAGAGGGAAAATCGATTATTTCCAATAACAAGCAGTAATCAAGAATTCACGTGGTTCTCTCTCTTTCTCTTTCACGAGCTCAATCTCTCAACATGCCATGTATGTTGATGACACACGATTTGTGATTTCACAGACTTCAGAATAGAGTACCTAGCACTGACAAAGTTGTCAGTACTCTTATTTTTGCACTTAGATTATCATCCGAAGTTTCTTATTTTTTGCACATTCGGCCCAAAATATACTTTCTAAGCCCCATCCCATTCATAAACAACGGGAAATCCTGTTAGGGGCGGGGCATAGAAAGTATTATTTGTGCCGAGTTTGCAACTTGGGATGTGAATCTAGAGGCACCAGACTTGTTTTGCAGTGTAAGGTGCTCTATTTTGTAGTCTGTGAAAGGAATTTCTAGGATTGTTTACTGCACTGTGCTCTGTCAGGAACTAACGGAAAGCCGTTAATGTGTAATTTCCGACAGATGTCGCCACAAACAATAGAAGTGCCATATGATGGCCACAATAAGGTCAGAAATCAATTCCGTCGGCTCATTGAAAACAACTATTAATTTTTCCGTTGTAGGGTTTTCTACATAGCAGCCAGGCGGATGCTGAATTTCTATCTGCAGCTGGACATCATCTATCGCTGGACCAAAGACTACCAAGAGGAACAAACTCTTCAAGATTACCTAACAGCTTATGGAATGCAGGTAAATAGAACAGTCACGCATAACACGCATGATCAGTTGAAATTTAATTCGGTAAAACTTCCATTTCAGATCTACGATGATGCAACCGCACGCTTTTCGAAAGAATCTCTCCACGACGACACCACAACTAGCAAGGATGAAAACTTTAGGAAGCCGCAAATTTTCGTGAACCAACTGTTCACCAACACCATTCGTAAGTTCAATAGATTGGAGATAATCGACAACATTTACACCATGGTCGGTGCCGGTACCGATACGTCAGCGACGGCCATTTCGTTTACTCTGCTGCAATTGGCAATGTATCCGGACCACCAGCAAAAGCTATACGAAGAAATAGTGGAAGTATTCCCGGAACCTGAACCAGCCATTACGCTGGAATCGCTGAAGCGACTTAAGTACACGGAAATGGTACTGAATGAATGTCTCCGCCTGTATCCGGTGGTGCCGATGGTGGTGCGTGAAAATACGGCCGACATAACAGTCAATGGACTGCGGGTGCCAAAAGGGAACATTTTCGGTGTTCACATCTTTAATATACATCGGCGAAAGGACGTATGGGGACCGGATGCGGATAAGTTCGATCCGGAACGATTCTCGCCGGAAAGATCGGTCGGAAGACATCCGTTTGCATTTTTGGCATTCAGTGGTGGTTCTCGCAATTGTTTAGGTAGGTTCGGCTGGCTGCAGGGTCAGTCAGAGAAAATAGCTTTATTTTGGTTGTTATTTCAGGATCACGTTACGCTATGATCAGTATGAAAATTATCATGGTCTATCTGGTGAAGCACTTCCGGTTTCATACGCAGATCCGAGAGGAGGATATACGTTTCAGGTTCGACGCATTGCTACGTATCGAAGGAGGTCACCAGATTCAGCTGGAGAGGCGCACATGATGGACAAGGTGCACGAATTCCCGAGCTTGTATTTTGGTGCTGCATTCCATATGAATAATTTATGTCAACTCCTATAAGAAAAGAAGATATTAGAAATATATCACAGCGTCAGGGGTAGGTACTGAGTGTCAGTAGACTTGATTTTGATAATACACATATTCTTTGGCAAAATTGTAGTTGAGTTGATTTAAATTTTATTTGTTGTAGACACATTTATATCTCTTAACGTTCTTCACTTCAGAGTAATTTGTCAGAATTGCTTTAGGGTGTTCCCGAAAAAAAAAACCACACGGGACAGCCCTATGGGGTTGTACGCAATGGTGACGTAGAACTACGTGGTCTTATATAATAAATCTTATTTGTTAACTGCAGCAGGAGCTTGTGTTTTGCGTAGGAATAGGAATTTGAGCAGGGTTCTCTCTGTTTATACTCTTTAGTATGACACGCTTAACATAAATGACCCACAGCGACTCACGAAGAGCTACTGATTCCAATTAATAGCGGTGCGGCTTCTTCCTCCTTCTATGGATGCTCATGTGGGCTGTAGCTCGCTGCTTGCAGACAGCATTTCGTTGTGTAATGGAGAACTCCACCACTCAGCACGCGTTGTTTGAATAAACACCGTTCGGTGAGACCAGCTGGAATTCAACTTTGAAATCTGTGTCAGGGAAATAGCTTTTCGCAGGCAACCAGTGATAATTTTAATGATCATAACAACAGTTACACATTCGTGCAATTTTCGACAGTAACATGTTGAAAAATGATAAAATCTTGAATTTGTGGGATGTGTAGGAATATTTCTGATCGATTGGTGATAAAATTATTAAAATTGGTCCAGGAGCAGCTGAGTTATTAACGTTCAAAATCTTTCATAATTTTGATACATGTTCCATTTTCGGTTTTCACAAAGTGCACCCCCATATAGAAATCACAGACGTAGTCCTACGTCAATAGTTTGGACTCTAACATTTTGTTTTTAAATTTCTCATGAAAGTCATCATGATTTTTATTTTGAAGATTATCCAAACGCATCATAAGCTATCTCGGATGTGGAGGGGACCGAGGATGATTTTCGGTACCACTTGGCGATTGGCTGAAAAGACCGTTCATCTACGATTTCTTCAATGGTGTGTGGTGTATAAACATTAGAAAAGGGGGTAGTATTTCCGGGCAATCATAGTCGCTGAACGATATAATTGCTATGAAAATCCACCACGCGCGCGACCTGACTGATAAAGGTTCATAGCAGCGGCCGATTATCATCTGATTTAATGTTAATTAATCAAGCTGCTTGGTTTTTCAGCTGTGTTAGCAACACATATCCGTGATCAGATAGAGGTGTGGATGATGATATGGCAAATAAAAAAAAAATAATGATACTGTCGCGCTTAGGTATGATACTTAGGGGTAGACATTATTATGATGAGCTTTGCGATTGCGAAAAGAATAATTGTGTAAGAATTCGAGGGGTTCGAAGATAAACTCGTCGATGCGTGATTCCAGAGACGAATCAACCAAAGGCTGAAAGCCACTTTAACTAAGAAAACACTTTAATTAAGATGGATACCAAGCCTTGGTGTTTGCTCCATGCTAAAGGGTTTTTTTTTTAGATTTTCCATCTTTACCTTAATATTGGGTTATTAATTAAGTAGGTTGTGAAACTGTATCGTTGCAGTTTAATTTTAATAAATGATGAGTACTTAAGAAGGTTAGCTTTCAATAGGTCTTTAGAGTGAATGACACTGATGCACATTATTGCAGTCGGCATACGAATTGCATGGACATCGGGCCTACCACATGATCGTATTATTAAACAGTAACCTTGGAAAAAGAAATGCTCGTTCGATTCGTATTGTCATCAAAAGCCCATGCTCATTTTCAACTTACCTACATACATCTATTTTTACATTGGCGTACTCTAACGAAACTATCAAACTGCTAAACGTTGTTAAATTCCAAGTTGTCCTATTGACCTTCAGTTTTGCAGTAGTGAAAAGGAGCAGAACTGACATGGAAGACCTTGATTTTTTTTATATTCCAGCTAATCCAAAGTACCTTGGGATTCTCAATGTACTTTGGATTAGCTGGAATAGGGGAAGTGGATGTAATGTCGGCCTAAATGCCCCTTATTTGGGCCTATACATAAATTCAGCAATCGACTGAATTTTCAATGACGACCAAACACATCCATTAGTACCGTCCCAAAGACGCGTACATCTAGATAAAATTGATCAGTCCGCATCGTACTCTAGTGTTACTACTACCTAAAGCTACAACAAATTCAAACAGCACTTCGAGCGCGGTACAAACGTTCAAGCTAACGGAGCTGATTTTTAAACGTTTTCAGTGTTGTAGATTGTGTTTTTTTTATTTTGTTCACTTAATTTCTGTAAAATACAAATATTATTGTGAATTCAGATATGTTATTCAACAGTGCTTCAAAGAAAAATAATATTGTGGTGATAACAATGAGTAATGTTCGTAAAATGTAGAAAGAATGCTTGAAATGCGCACAATTAGGAACTGCGCACAATAAGGGGCGGTCACGGTACTTGGTGTCACAAGAATAGGATGGTAGGATGCAGAAAAAAAATCACCCACCTGCTTTACGTACAGTCTTCATGGTCAGACACTGAATCGGGAGACTACAGTCAAAGACCTAGGAGTCATGTTAGATTGTCAACTAACCTTCAAGGAGCATGTGTCATATGTCGCCAGTAAAGCATCTTCTCAGCTTGGCTTTATTTTTCGCTTTGCTAAAGATTTCAGAGAAACTTCGTGCTTGAAAACGCTTTATTGTTCACTAGTCCGTTCGACACTGGAATACTGTTCAGTAGTCTGGGCGCCGTTTTACAACAATGCCACGAATCGACTTGAGTCTATTCAGAGGAGATTTGTTCGCTATGCTCTTCGTTGGCTACCCTGGAGAGACCCTGTAAACCTCCCTAATTATGAAAGTCGATGTAACTTGCTGAGCCTACAACTTCTCAGTGTTCGCCGTGGCGTCGCTAAGGCTGTCTACATCGCCGATCTCCTGCGTTCGGACATTGACTGTAGTCCACTTTGGCAACAGCTTAACATTAATATAAGACGAGTCATTATTAAGTAAAGATAAATGTTTCCTGATTTAGTTTAAGTATATAGGTATCTGTAGGATTTTATGTTATCTGTTGATACGAAAAGAAGAGGTTTTCCGCCCACTTGAGAAGGGGCAAGATTGGTCCTTCTGAAGTGGGCTTTTCCCTCTCAAATAAATAAATAAATAAATAAGAAAGGTGACTGGGGTGACTTGAACCGCATGATAGTAAATCCTAAGAAGTGCTAAAAATCTCTCTCCAATTGAACGAGTAAGTCAAGTGAAGGACCTGGACCCGGGATAGCGAAGGATTTCAATGACGTGTACTGCCTTAAATCGTTTCAGGGGAAAAACCAACTTCGGCCTAATCGCCCATTCCCGGTCTATCGAGCACAAAACATCAAATATTTCTAGGATTTCGGCGTGAACGTGTCAAACAAACGTTCTATTTAGTAGCTGCCAGAAGAAGTGTTGAAGAACGCAAAATAAGATCTAGAAAACAAAAGGAAGTGCAAAAAAAGGCGCACGCGAATACACTTTTCTTTCCGTTCAATAGGCCAAAGAGAATCCCAATGGCGCTTCAATGGCTAATAGACCCTTGAAAATCCGTAGGCCAAGTTGAGCCTCCAGAAACAGTTTTGCATTTTCTACCATAAACGCATATTTCGTGACCCCTTAACAGAAGATAACGGTACATATGGAAAGGTAAATTAATTTGGAAGCTGTAACAATAACATTCCGTTTGATTCTAAACTACGCTGGATTAAGAAAGACTAAGTCCGGGTTGTGCTTAATAGGCCGGGAATGGGGTAGTTAACCCTACTGTTCCCTAGTACGATCTACATTAGAATATGGTGCAACTGTTTGGGAACCTTTTTATCATAATGGAGCTGAGGGAATCGAATCAGTTCAACGTACAGTATGCAAAAAAAAAATTTATTCACCCCCCTACCAATTTACATGTTTTTTTGTTTTTCTGGTGAAAATCAGTTTAATTTTAAGAGTGTTCCTTCATGATTTCAGGGTGGCAAGTGAATTTTCATGTTGAAATTCCTGGTTTTTTTTCCTGGTCGATGGTTTAAAAATTTCCTGGTATTTAAAAAACAATTTTTAATAAAAAATAAATAAAGTGAATCCTTGTACCATCATTCTTCGCGCAATGCGGAATTTAACAAACTAAAATAGGTATTAAGGTTCTTTTGAATGCCCGTGAAATATTTATCTGATTGTTTGAAGGACTTAACTGAATATATGACGACCCTAAATTTAGAAGAGCTTCCCTGACGTTCATAAGGCTTTAAATATCGAAGGGTTTTCCAAAAGTTTGTGGGTCTTTCCTTATTTTCTTGGAAATTCCCTTAAGTTTGGAGAGCTCCCATGAATTTCGTAGGACTACCTGTAGTTCAATCGACTTCTCGGAAGTTCTAGGAACTTTTTTGAGCTTGGAGAACTATGTTAAGTTCAGAGGACTTCCCCAGAGTATTGAAGACTTCTCTGAAGCTCGAAAAAATCCATAAGTGTCATAGGATTATCCGTTTTAAGCAATGCCTAAATGTCGTAGAAGTTACATTAAATCTGTAGAAAATTCTGTATAATTCGTAGTTATTCCCCAAAGATTAAAGGACTTCCCTGAAGTTCGTAAGACTTGTCTGAAATTTGTAGAACTTCTCTGAAGGTTCGGAGAGATTTTTTGACCGTCGTAGATCATCACAGTAGTTAACAGGATTTTCCTGAAACTTGTAAGACTTTCCCGATTTTTGTAGAACTTGCATGAAGTTCGAAGGCCTTATCTGAAGTATTTAGAAATAGAACTTTTTTATTGAACTTGTTGAACAGGTACTTCAAAGTAGTTACGCGTCGGCATTGCTTAAGTCTGCTATTAATTAAGCACAAATCAAGATTCAAGAAAAAAATAAATTAAAAATAAATACAAAATATATTTACTAAATTTTTAGGGTGAAATTTGTTCATCAATGTTTAGTTGTGTGAAAGATTTAGCTGGAACAAAATGGTTAGTTTTGACCTATAATCA